ATGTAAGCATCAATGCTCGAATTCGAAGTTTAACTCCCAGGTTATTGTAGAACGTACGCAACCCATTTGAAAGGAACAATATACTGACGGTTCGAAACTAATAGTTCTCTTATTTCTAGTGTTTAAAGGTTTTTTTAGCTAATTTAACAACAGGGTTCTTTTCTTTTCTTCAATTAGAATTTGTTAAGACAACTAAGGCCTATATTTAATTGCGCACAAACAATTTTCTGCGGCGCCTTCCTACTGGTAGTTATTCGTTTAGTCTCTCGTCCCACTTAATCTTTCTCGGAGGACGACTCGAGCGGAAACGCTCGCTTTGTACTCAAGCTACCGTTAGATTGTTTCGTTTTCTTGTTTGTTTGTTCGCAGCTGAACGAAGATCTGAAAAATTTAACTTCATATTACAGGTGAAAACTCTGTCGCGTATGATTAATAGACAGAGATCTCTAGCTCTTTAGCTTGTATAACTGCCTTCAGAAGTAATGACTTTAATTGAATATGGTAGATAATTTATTTGCATTTATCTTAATATCTTATTGACTTGCAATTGCCGATGTAGAATGGAAGAAACCCTTAATACTGGTGTGTATCGCCTATCTTCCTTCAGTTTTTTTAAAAAGAATACCGCAAATTGTTTTTATGCTCAGTGTAAAAATAAGGAGCAGCATAAGATGTAAATGATTATGCAAGACTGAAATCAGCGGTGACATATGTAGTAATTGAAACAGTTTAAATCAGGTTTGGAAAAAACTGAATTCATGGCAGGACGGGGACAACTAACCAAGGAAGCTAAACTTACTTACAATAATAAAAGAAAGTTTTAATAACCTAAAAATTCGTAAATAAAATTGTGACAACCGGAAGGCAGTGAATTTTGAGTTGAGGGTGCGATTAGAAGATCCAGGTTCTTTATGTAGACCGGATCATCCACCAGATTAGCCTTTGCTATTTGGATGATCCCAGCTCGCTCTCTATTTTGTTGTTACATTTTTCTTTTATTCCGTAATTGAACTGTGTTTAGTTGCCTATGTAAATTTAACCTTTATGTCATGTAAAACTGAGTGGAGTTTAATAAATATCTTGTCTTGTCATGTTTTGGTCATAGACATATATTCCTGTGCGACTTGCCTTCATAAGGTTGAGGCCTGCATCAGTTGTGTGGCTTCCAGCCCTGATTTATGAAGTGAACAAATGTGGAAGACAATTATCGTAAGGGTTTAAGGGAGCCTTGCAAACACCTCTCCTGCAAGCAAGGGAGCTGCTATCAGCTCACTTGTGTGAAGTTATAAAATCAAAGGGTGACAAGCAACTTGTTAATTTTTTTTTTTATGGCAAACTACACACTGTGAGGAGTCTTCACCTGGGTGAAGATCACTGACCCAGACAACGACTTCTTTTTAACCATTCAAAGTATAACCGAGTGTCTACTATTCTCAGTCGCTGCTGAGCAATTTCTTAACCACAGGCGACTTCTTAGGTTGAAGTCGAAGGTTTTCAGCGCAGCCCATCAAAATTTAACTTAGTTTTAGGCCCTGTTCGTTACAGTGGTTGTAATATCCTGAATATCCTTTTACATATAAATTAGGGATAATAGCGAGTTTTGTAACTGTTTTTCAAAATAACATTTTTTGCATTTTAAGAGCAGCTTTAGATTTAAATGCGTAGAGATTTCGGTATAGAGACAAAGCAATCGTATTTTGTCGATATTCAATATCAAAAACCCTCAGGAGATCATCTATAAACTACATTAGCCTTTTATATTAAAAATACCTCAAGAAATATTTCCAGCTAGCACCTTCACTTATTAATTAGAATACTTTAAAACGCTTGCCTATAACCGACCCTTTAGGGTATAAGCTTTAATAGCTAAACGACATGAATTCCCACCCTGGCGGAGAAACTTAAAAATCAGTCAATTGTCATTAAATACAGTGAATTAAAAACATTCCAACTTATTCCGGCGCCGTTAACGAGACGTTTTGGCTTCGAAGAGAGTCGTTTTCAGATAAATACGTCTGTCAAGGCACGAATCAATCACTCAAGAACTATCGCATATAATAGAAGAAGATTATTTGCGCAGAGATATCAAAACTTTCTATCCAGAGAAAATCAGGTGTTTTGTAAAGCAGTTATGCTTCGTAATTTGAAGTTTTTATGTTTTTCTTTTTCTTTTCTTCAACTAGCGCATCTTCATTTTCTGATTTTAAAAGCCTTTAATTTTTTATATAAACCCTCATATATACAGCTCTAGGCGAATTAAATAATTAGTTCATTGATTCGTTGACTTGTACCATACTTGCTATCACAAGGAACTTTTAGCTACTTGGCCTTGGAAGCGCTGTTGGTAGATCCGAGTGGCGCGTAACTTACATCACAAGTTCTTTTCGAGCCGAGTTAATAAAAAATATTTTTATCCAATTTGTTATCACACCCTTGGATTCATCCCTAGACCTTTTATTTTAAATTTCTACAAACACTTTTATTATCTGAAAAAGGCGTGTGAGACTAACAGCTAGACAATACGAGAATAATATTCCTCAGTAGCTTATGTCGGTGAGCTTTTCCCTATAGCTAGTTCAAATCGTGCCCAGTGGCTATACCGAAAGAGTATAGGAAAACACCGTTTCTTTACGGATACCGCCTCTTATCGATATTGTTCTATTTTCTCGCTTTCAGCTTAATCGAGGAAACGCTAACAGCATCTCAAGTACTGCAGATTAAACTAATTAACCGAGGTTCCAAAGTACGGTTAACTTTCCGACACCTATCAACTTGGCGTCATGTTTTTCAAATAAATCACAGCACACCGCTTTAAGTTATTTATAATCCACTTACACTCCAAGTACCAGTCATAAGAAGAACTATTGCCATCATCACTTGCGACGTGGAAACGGTCATCTAACCATGAACAACAGCACTGAACCCAACCCAACCACTACAGGGACCGACGCAGTACTCGGGTTTCCTCCATCCTTCGTGTATCCAGTGGCGACGTGTCACATCTTAAAGGGGCTATGTCAGCTGGAGAGCATGCGCTCTGAGGTTATGCAAATTACTTTCAACTGTCAAAATTCTATTGTTTTTAACGCGTGACTTTCTCCATGTGCGCTCTGAGGTTATGCAAATTACTTTCAACTGTCAAAATTCTATTGTTTTTAATTAACGCGTGACTTTCTTCATGTTCTCTGTCACGTCCAAGGTTCCGAATTTAGAGAGGTTAACAAGCGAAATGGGTTTGGATAAGGGATATTTCGATAGAATTTATGGAACGTTTCTTCTCTGGTTATGCCAGATCAAGAATATAATTGTGACGACAATTTTACTTGTAGTTTTGAAGTAAAAACGCATGCCATTCATAAAATGATAAAATAGAGCGCAAACAAAAATTCAACAACAACATATTGTCTTATTCAACAAAATAAATGGAAGTTGTATTTTACAAACGAGCTACAAAAGACGCTAGACCGAAGATAAAGACCAAGACTGTTTCAAATCATTAACAATTAGACTTGTCTGTTGCTACTGATTTTATAATTTAGATGCTGATAGAACAAGAGACCAAGTCTTTGTTTTGATGTTAGGGAAACATACATTATCGCGCAAAATTGTTCGATCGCGTCGAATCACTGCGACGTCGAGAAAAACAGAACCCAGCATCATTGGTATACTACTCCACTATAAGCAGTCCGTTGATAAAAAGGGAAAGTAAACTCTGCTATTTTCCAAAATTATGCTCGAACACAAACAGTTCAAAAACATGGCATTTACAGGAGCTAACTCGTACTAAGGTGCCTCTCTAAGTCCGTTGAGAACAATCTGGACGAGCAAACGGTCGTGTTTATCTTTGCCGTGAATCGAGATAAATACAAGAAGGAATCTAGCCGAATTTTAGAATGTTTCCTTCGCCAGGAGTTTAGTTTCGTCACGAAACTCATGGCCTGATGCTCTCGTAATCGTTTACAAAAAACGGCCGCCGCCAACTCGATAGCCGCTTCATTATATGTCCACATACTTTGAGCACAAGAAATATCCAAGAGCCAGCAGCCTCTAAAATAACTCAATAGAAAGGTCCTGTGAACTATAGGGAAGATTCCATCAAAGATTCCATCACTCATTGTGGAGTAGCCGTCATTAACTCTGCCATTACAACGGCCGCTGATAAGAGGACACAGTAAATCCACGTAAAAACATTCCACAGGCAAACAATTTTAAAATAACGCCAAAAAATTGTTCTGTAATAACCATAGAACGATTCTTAATACAAAACTTCGCTAACTATCGAACGATGGCTGAGATTTAGACAGATAAAAACAGCCTTCCAAAATCTCCGACACAACTTGAAAAAGTTGGGCCGTCTTTTTCAAGTTTGTTTTCATTGGCTCGCGCATGCGTGTTGGGTGACATAGCCCCTTTAATTGTCGCAGTGGCAGTCCTTGGAAACCTCATAGTTTGTAAAGCAATAATCACTAACAAAAGTCTCCGAAGCAGCCCAACAAATTTGTTCATTCTCTCGTTGGCGTTCTCTGATCTTTTTACTGCAACATTAGCGGTACCATTTGACATAGAAGGCCTTTTCCTTAACTGGGCTTGGAAGCATGGAGAAATAATGTGCCAGGCGTGGATTACACTACCTTATCTCTGTACCCACGTCTATTTTGACCCTTTTGGCTGTGAGAGTGGCTCGTTACAAGAGCCTTAAGGATCCCTTGAATCGATTTCGCCGCTTCCGATTTATGACACGAAAGAGAGCTTTAATTATTATTTCTGCCATCTGGCTTTACAGCTTGTTTTTTGCTTTAATTCCCGTCTTGGGCTAGAGAAAATATGACGAGTTTGTTTATGAGGGAATCTGTTACTTTTCTGTTCATGAAATTTATTCCACTCTCAGCTCTTGTCTAAATTTCATTATTCCACTACTGGTAACGTGCGGTATCTACGTTAAGATTTACCTCATAGCGAGGTCTCAAAGCAGCACTTTTGATAAAGAGATCTCACGACAAATGCGTACGACGGAAGCCTGTTCACGACAAACGCGTTCTACTGAAGAAAAGAAAATCTATTTAAGGAACATTCGAGCGGCCAAGACTATCTCCATCTTTATAGCCGTGTTTTTCTTTTGCTGGGTTCCTCACTCTGCCATTAGCATCAGTACCAATCTCTGTGAATCATGCCGAGCTAAAATCCCAAATGAAGTTGGTGTTCTAGTTTTGATCTTTGGATACCTTAATTCTGCCCTCAACCCATTTCTTTTCGCTTTTCGAAACAAAAGATTCAAGGCCGCCTATTCAGCATTGCTGCTCACGATGAAAGCTAGACCTCTATTTCCACGCAGTTTGAGACGTCGCTCTACTTTAACAGCTAGTACTTTGCATCCTGAACTTCCAGATCTACAAGATAGCGTGGTTCGCCTACAGTTGGCTAAAACGAAACGAGAAAGCTGAGCAGACAAAAGACAGTCTGCTCTACGAGCTTCTGACTCCATAGTTCTTAAAGACGTTAGCATCGGAAACAGAATCATGACTAACAAAATTTTAATTTTTTGAGGTCAATGCTTAGTTGTCTTTGGGGTGGGTCTAAATGGGTTTATTGTTTATGCCGACTAAACAAAATAATATTGGCCATTCTGGAGCCGTTTTTGTTTAATCTTTCTGGAAAAAATTACTTTTACGGTGAATTTTTTTTTTTGCTGTTAGTGCTCTCAGCCAAAAAATTTAGTGTCTAGCGCTATCAACTGAAGGCACCTGCATTCAGACCCTCTTTGCGCCCTAGCGTGGAATGTGTGAAAGATCTTACCATTGAATTCTTTTAGTTAATCACATCTCAGAGGGAAATCTAAGCGACGGTCCCCAAAAGGATTCTTCAATCTCGTCATTCCTACAAAAAAGGTTCCCTGCCTTGATGCAGCAGCGTAGTCCTGGCAGATCCCATATGCCTTGAAAATAAGCTAACAGATTCTGAATCGAAGCTCCTTCATCTTCTTAGGACCAGCTGTGGCGAGGGCTGGAGTAAATTGGTTAGTACACTCAAAATTAAAGGCAAGTGTTATATAGGGTGGGAAAAAAGGCGAGCAATTTGTGGTAATACTTTCGCAACATACCCTTAAACCAGCATCGTTAAACGACCAAATCTCTTATTCATTAAAATCCCGTATCTCGAAAAGCCAAATCCTGGATCCCGTAAATCCTATGGGGAACCTTGGCGCATTTCACTGTACAACGCTCTATACCATCAAGTTTAGATGAAGGGATAAGCAGCATTGTAGCTTCATTCGAATGTTAAAACCATGTAAATTATTAATATTTAAATCAGTCAATTGTATTTAAATACGGGGTTGCCATAATATTTTTTTTGTTAAAACAATTAATGAATGAGGCTGAGTATTTTATGAAGAATTATGGAGCTCGAGGAGGGTGTTATCCGAGGCGGATAACACCCTCCGAGATCTCCATAATTCTTCATATGATACGAAAGCCGAATTGAATAATTGTTTTATTATTCATTCAAAATAATTCCTAGTTTAAAAACATAGCTAAAACAAGCTTACCTGCATCGATGTTAAGTTTATCTTCGATAGTTTACGTTTAGGTTTGTCCAGCTCCGCAAATATTCTCCAAATAGCAGATGTCGCCCTCCGAGTTGTCTTCTTGCTGTTTTTGCTATGTTTTAAGCCATTATTTCGCCTAGTTCCAGCTGTAGTTCTTACTCTTGAAACGAGTGAAGTGTCCGCCATTTTAGTTTTTACAACGAAAACAACTCAATCTCAGAAGGCTGCATTTTTGACGTCATTTCCAAAAATTCTTCCAAATTTGGTCATCAGTGACTGGTTATGGTGAATTATGCGTGTGCTTTTAGCCAATCAGAATTGGGGAAATATTCTGAATGAACAATAATAAACTTTAAAGGTAACAATGCAAAAAATAAAAAAATTGAACCAATATATAAAGATAAATAAAAGTATAATTGCACAATGTTCCGGCGTCGAAATGTCCATTGTCACCACAGGCCAATTAGCAATTATTGGATGAGGCTGAGTATGATCTGATTGAGGAGGATGCTATCCTCCAAAAACGAAGTCTGAGGTGGATAACAACTTCCGAGATCTGCATAATTCAGTCTTCACATCATACGAAAGACGAATCCAATGTATTGTACTTTAAAACAGGCTTGCCTCGATTGATGTTAAATTTCCATCTCAATTTGTATGTTCCTCCGCAAATTCAGGATACAAACGGAAGTTCAGTAGCAGCTGTCATCCCTTGACTTGTATTTTTACTGTTCTTCCTGTTTTTAGGCAGAAGTTCAGCTATTTCCTCTTCACAAACGTGTGAAATCTTCTGCAATATTCTCCAGCTCTACAAAAATCGCCGAGCTAACGCAACCTTGTCCCCAATGGTCTCTCAGTTGCAGTCCATTCTCCCGGCGATAGCCCGTACAATAAACATCATTACATCGAAAATCGCAAACGTCTTCCAAATAGGCCATTTGCGAATTGCTCAAACACCTGTTTCAAAGCCAGGGTTAGTACAAAGCAAGAGCCATAATCGGGGTAGGACACCGAAACTAGCCTGCTGTGCAGGCATTTTCTTCGGGCACGCGAATGTTTTGCTCGCGAAAGCGCTTGTTGAAACTCGAAAAGAGGGGAGAAAATGGGGCGAGTAAAAAAGAGCGGGTATTTTTACTCTCCCTAATCTTTCTCCGTCATAACAAAGATGGCGGTTACAACAGTACGAACATAAACAAGCAGCTTTCGCCCGCCCAAAATACGCCTGCACTGCAGGCTACACCGAAACTGGATATGTTTTCCAGTAATGGGGTTGAGTTCATCGAATTAGCCAAATGTGCTATTTTTAGCACAAGCTGTGACTGTGCCATCTCGTGTGACACGCGCGCGCACTTTTTGCGAGGACGCCGCGCAAAGGATGAAGAAACAAAATGGCGTCAGAAATTACCTCCGTAGGAGATGGATAAATTCCATTTCTGTCATCATTGCCTGCGGCTCTGAATTTGAGGCAAGACCTTGAGGCGAACCTCTTTGTAAACACTTAATTTGACGACTGTGAATGTGATTCTGCTTATGGAAAACACCGTAGTGAGAGTGTTTTTGACAATTCCAGCGACGAATCGATGTCGGAGATGTCGTGCGATGAACATCCCGTTCGGATGAGACAAACAAAAACATCTTTGGGGGAAAAGGAGGGCGGAAAGTTAACAGCAACAACAAAAAATAATTATAACTAATTTTCCTCAAATTTGTCTTTGAATTCATGATAAATACAGCTACACCAGCTTCAAACAGCGTCTGTTGGCAGAATTTCACGAAAATAATACTTTGAATAATAATTTTCCACCTAACTTTATTCTTGCAGTGTGGCGCAGTGGTCTAGCAGATGACGTCCTTCCGTGTAAATGGAATAGGTTCGACCCTTGGCTAAGCTGTTTTTTCTTTGCTGTATATATTTTTTGTTTTTGTTTTTGTTTTTAACCATTTTTCCCCTTGGCTTGCTTAACTTTATTCTTACTGCTGGCCCATTACAGCTTCGCGAGGTTATTGCGATAAACAAAATTATATAATACTGTTTTAATAACATTGGCTCATTCTTCCTCTGTGCATGCATTGTCTATCAAGAAATGAAGCACTTGGAAAGTTCAGAGAGCACTCAAATCAAGTCGCAAAACGATCACCCATCTCCTGAAATTCCACACGAGATCCGCGAAGTTTGTGACATTGAGGGTGGCACAGTTTGTTCTTAAAATAGCTTATTTAGCTATTTAGATGGAACTGCGTGGACCGGGCGCTTGCGGGTCTCCTATCCCTATTATGGCTCCTGATACAAAGCTATTGATATGAAAATGAATTTCAATTTTCATGCAAAGTGAATACAGTGTAGTAATGCACTTTTCCTTTTATATTCATCATTACCCACTTTTTCATTTAACTTCTCTGAATATGAGCATGGCTTTTCGTTCCCCTAAGAAAACTCTTCCCACTCCGTTAATATTATTCCAATGCTTATTATTATTTTATTAATAAACTTGAAAGCTAAAAAGAAGCATTTAACATCATAAATTCAAAAGAGTTTTGTGCCCAGCTTTCGTTCTCTGGATATTAGGTAAAATACTCGTCTCGTTTTGGCCAACTTCGTCCTTCACATTTCGGTCTTCGCAGCGGCGGCAAACTGACGCTGGGGAGATGTCAGACCCAAGCAAACACCCGACGAAATAGAATATTTGTTTGACCTTTGTTGTATTGCGAGGATTTTACATAATAAAAAGAAAATTACATTGCTGCGAGGAGATAAGAAATTTCTCCTCAAGTGTTGAAATATTTTCAACATGAGAAGAGAAATTGTTCATCTCCCCGCGACCATGTAATTTCCTTTTATTACTATATACTAGCAAAATCCTCGCAATACAGCAACTACTCTATTTCGTTTGCTTGGCCGAAATGTAAAGGTCGAATTTGGCCAAAAAGTGTTTCTCAACTTCCTCGTCTTTTAGGCTATCCAATGTCCTAGGCTTGTTTCCCAGTCCACTGGCTTTTAGTTTCTTTTGTTTTGCTTTGAGGGTAACCATTGTCAGTAGTTTTAAACACAACGTCAGTAAATGTGAAGCTGTAGTTCTCTGTATTCAGATATCTCTGGATGCTTGAAAGTAATCGTCTCAAACTTGGGAGTTCTTAGTCGGAGCCATCTTTTTTTCTAAAGTTAATTAAAGATGAATTTCGAAAGGCGGTCGTTCAGAACTTGTGATGAAAGCTCATGAAGAGTTGTTGAACCAAGCAAGTCAGAGTCTGATGTTTGAATGAAATTGTTCTGAATAACTACACTTCGTACGTGGTCTTCCTTTTTGTATTAGGATTTTCTCTATCTTCTACGAATTCAATCAGTTCCTTATCTGTGATCTCGACAAACGTGCTTGTCTCTATTTTACAACAAACTTAAAATCTAACTTCGACTCACAAAAAGACCAAAGTAGAAATTCCGAAAAGACCAAACGACGACAACCACAAGTGCTTGACAGCGCGCTAAAATACTGTGAACTGATTGGAGAACAATGATATCACACATGTGTGGATACAAGTGATATCATCACTGGCAGGATAGCGCATTTATCAATTTGCTACCCCTCGGTATACCACTAACTGTTATATAACAAAATACTTTTTGGTATGTGGGTGTCGAGTTCATCTCTTCTGCTGTTTATATATCACCTCTCAATATCGCTATTCATGGCACAGCTTTTAAGCGTAAAAGAAAAGAAAAGAATGAGGCTTATTTAGGAAATATGAAAGCAGCTAAGACTATTATCATGTTTATTGGAGATTTCTTTTTTTTTCTCGCTGACTTCCCTCTTCAACGTGTATTATTTTCATCAGTCTACTCATGCTGGGCATTGATTCCATGGCCCGGTTCCTCTAGAGATGGTTAAGTTTAACCCAGAA